ACCAGCACTAACACACTGCCCCGTAAAGACATCGAGTGACCAATTCTGCAGAAGACCTTGGGCTTATTTTACACAGCCTTGGTCTTCGATGTTTTCAGCATTCCCTGCCCTAGGGTTGCCTATGTTACACTCCCCCCTACCCCCACACACAGGGTTTCTCTGTAACAACCCCGACTATATTGGAACTCACTTTGTAGACCAAGCTGGCTGCAAACTTACAGAGGCTCGCCTGCCTCTGCTGGGAATTAAGGGTGTGTGCTACCACCTCCTGACTGCCTGTGTTAGACTTGATGAACCTGTGACATATTCCTATTTCCCAAAATCTACGGTTCTGTATACCATACAGATATGAACAAATTCACAATGTTGTGTCTCTACCATTGCAGCACCAGGTAGAGGGAACACTTGGCTACTCTAAGAAACCCCTGCCCTCCCCCCATTCCTCTTCTCTAATCACCTTTTTTTTTTTACTGGGGTAAACTGTTCCTTTTGTAGAAAGCCATATGGTTGTAATCAAACAGCATCACCTTTTCCATGGACTTATTATCTAAATATGCTTTTATTTAGTTTTGGTTGGCGAGATCTCACTATGTAGCCTCAGTGGCCTGAAACTTGTATGTACAGGCTGGCCTCAAACTCACAGAGTGCCCCTGAAATAATGGGATTCAAGGTAAGCTTCCCATGGCAGCCTATGGAAAGTGACACTGGTCATTTGGTTCAGGTGGTGCATTACAAGAATAGTCTATTATAAAGCCACATTTCTCCCTGTGTAATTCATGTTAGCTGAGATGTTGTGACACCACAGAAGACACTCTGTTTCTCATTTTAATCTTCTAGTTTGAAGCTTTTACTTGTGTGGTTTTGCAAAGTGATGATTTCCAACTTCAAATGTTTATAGCAAATACTTTTTCCATCATAGCTTGCCCCCCTTTTCTTAAAAAAAACCCCACTTTTCTCTAAGAGCTTCCTTGCTCAAGATAACTTGAAACTCTCACCTTTACTTCTCTTAAAAAACAAAACAAAACCATCAAATTTCCCCAGCATTTTGTACCTTTTACATGATTGAAAAACAGAACTGTAGATCACCCCCATTGACGGTTTAATGTGTCCTGGGACAGTGCATACCATCCGTTCAGAATGCTGCCTCCCCTTGGAGCAACAGCTCCTTCCATTTCTTGATAGAATCTGATCTCCTAAGGGCTTAGTAGGAGGTCACACCAAGGGCTGAAAAATATTCTTTGATGATGTCACTTGACTTTGATGTTCACTGAGACCGGGCAGCAGAGTCTTCAGAGACCCAAGGTTTTAGAAATTGGAGATAAGAAAAGCAAGCAGAAGGCTGGAAAGATGTTATTCTAATCAGTGTCCATGTAGGATGGCCCTACTCTGTTTATTTATATACTCCAGTTGTTGCCACTCAGAACTGGCTTCTGCAAGGACTTGTGGCTTGAATTTTTGAATATTTTCATTAAACCCTGAACATTCATTTAAATAAAATGATAAGGCTTGATATTTGATTTAGTTTTCAGACTCTGTTTGAACCCAGACTAATTTGCCAGTTAATTTATCAGTTAGCCTTCTGAAGTATTATCAGTTGACAGAGTCACTAAATGAGACCAAGTGTGTCTGTCTTTTGTTTTATGCAGTTATGACTTGCATACTTCAGCCCTTGGGGGAACAAAGGATGCCTCGTCAGAGAGAGAAGAGAGCTCTTGGTGCTGCTAGGAAACTGAAGAACTCTTTTGTGAGGATCTTGAAATCTCAGTTCATTTTTAGCACAACACAGTGAGGAGCAAACACATTTCAAAAAAGAAATACTGGAAGTCATTTATGAGACTCCTTAAAATAACTTAGGCAGAATAGCATCTCTTGGTATCCGAGGGGCCCACTTGCAGATACTCACTCAATGCACATATAAAATGAGGTAGTTTCTGCAGACAACCTAAGCACGTTGTCCACCAGCAAAGGGAAATCCAAGACAGACCACTTGGAATGCGGGAATTCCTTCTGGCAGATTTTCCTATTTCCCTGACATTTCTAAAATTGATCTGCACATAATCCAATCTCAAATTATCTCCAGAAAATTTATAAGGTGCCATTTTAAGAGACAAAGGTATTTTTAAGTTCCCTTCCCCTAGGGAAGCTAATCATGTAGTGATTTCTACCTTGAAAGGTCCTATACAGGGTAGCATTGGCAAGAAAGGCACACCAGCATCGAGGAAGTGGGATGAGATGTGGATGCCTTAGCATAGATTTCTAAAGGAAAACAGACACCCAAGGCAGCACTGCCAGAGGCATGATGGGAGATAATGGAAACAAGGGAAGTGCCATGAGCGCGCCCGGCAGAACAGACAACTCACACGCGGGACGGTGGAGAGGGGCAGAATAACTGTGTTTTTGAAAATGAGGTAGGCATAGGATAATGAATTTATTAGACATCATAAAAAGGATGCCAAGGTTCCAGTATCTTTTCAGCAGGGAGTCTAGAGATGCCACACATCAGTGTCAAGCCATGTTTTACCTGTGTGAGGATGCCAGATCCCATGGAACTGGAGTTACAGACAGGTGTGAGTTGCCATGTGGGTGCTGGGAATTGAACTCCCGGTCCTCTGGAAGAGCAGCCAGCATTCTTAACCACTGAGCCATCTCTCCAGCCCCCCAAACCATGCTTTAATAAAATAAATATGTAGGCATAAAACAGACTGAAGGCCAGCACACTTTGAGGACAGTGGTAAGCCATTCATTGCCTGGTCTCAGACAGTAAAGTTTTGATGTTGGATCACCAACCTTTGCTATGTGAAAAGCCAATCCCCAACTTTAGAGACTTAGCCCAGACATCTGTATCCATGATCCCTTAGTATTGGTAGGCTGGGAGGAAAGAGGAAGCCCCAGGCTCACTCAGGGTCTGCAGAAGCTGGTCTGGAGAGGGGTTGTGGGTGGTGTGGTGTGGTTGTAGCTTGGGCAGTCGCAGCTGCTGCTCTCACTGCTCAGTTATTTCCCGTGTGGATTGTTTGTACAGTGGTAAGAGTTCTCAAGAAGGCGAGAAGGGATTTAGCAAGGAATCCGGAGGCCTCGCCCTGGGTTTTACCCAGCACATTCTTGTCCCTTTTCACTGGTCTGATTTAAGAGAGGAATGCGGAGGATTTGCACCCGTATATTCAGTTTGAGGAATGGCCTCAGATGGCTGTTAAAGGCTTATGATGGCAACTTGTAGTTCCTATTCTTTGGGCTTCAACTTTACCAATATCATTTCTGAGAGTCTACTAGGATTAACTCACCCAATAGAAAGGATAACGCATATATTATTGGAGAAACACCATTGAATAGCCACTGCACAGAGTGAGGGCTTGGGATTGATGGACTCCTAATTTTGCTCAGTGTGTTAATGATAGGGGGAAGGTGAACAGAGGGGAGGGAGGGGATGGGGGTGGGGAGAGGCAGGCCCTGGGTACCATTCACAATCTCATCCAACACTTAACATGTGTGTTGAGAAGTGTAGGGGTTCAAGTGGGAAGGCTGTTTCTTAGCCCACAATGGTGGAGAGCTGAGCTCGGAGGCTCATGCCTGTAAAATGAGAAGGGGTGGGGAGGGACAGAGAGGGGGAAGGAGGTGGGCAGGGCCCCTTTAAAAGGGAACATAGTGAATAGGCACAGGTGGTGCTCTTAGTGGCTACCCCTGAGGGTGGATCTTGTCCGAACTCCAAAGGCAGGCCAGTCAAATGCCTGAATGCTAACAACCAGTGCTTGGGACACCAAGGGAAGAGGATGGTCTAGAGTTCAAAGTGAGCTCCAGGCCAGGTTGGCTCAATGAGGGAAACCCTGTTTCCGAATAACAAAGAAAACCAAGGCGGTCACAGAGAAACTGGTAGATTGACAGCTCGTTCTGTGGAAACTTTTGTGTTGTAAAGACTTTTATCAGATGATTCATTTATAATTGAATATTATAAATCAAGCTAATGACCCAGACCATTCATGCCTTGGATCTTGATCCTAACACCAGCATTATCTTTTCATTTATTTACTTGTTTTTTCTATTTGAGACAGGGTTTCTCTGTGTATCAGTTCTGGCTGTGCTAGAACTTTCTCTGAACACCAGGCTGGCCTCAAACTCACGGAGATAGATCTACCTGCCTCTGCCTCTCAACTTCTGGGATTATAGACATGCATCATCACCTCCCTCCCTCCCTCCCTCCCCTCCCTCCCTCCCTCCCTCCCTCCCTCCCTCCCTCCCTCCCTCCCTCCCTCCCTCCCTCCTCTTCCTTTTTTTATGGTGCTGGGGATTGAACCCAACCCACAGAACCTTTTAAATGCTAGGCAAGTGCTCTACCATGGTGGTATTTTTTTCTCTCTGCCTGTTTTTGAGAAAGGGTCTTGCTGTGTATTTGGGGGTGGGTGCTGAAACTCTCAGTGCTCCTGCTTCCCTAATGCTGGGTTTCAGGAATGTGCTACCACATTGGATGTTTTTTGTTTTGTTTTGTTTTTGTTTTTTCTTCTGTTTCTGAGCCAGGGTCTTGTTATATATATCAGACTGGCCGACTTAACTTTTGATTCTCCTGCTTCCGCCTCCCTTGTGCTGTAATTAAAGATGTGTACCACATGTTCAGTGACACCCCCAACCAAACAACTGTTCACCGTCCTGAGAATTCATCATGGGTCTGTGCATGTGCTAGGCAACCAAGCTGATCTTCAGCTCCAGTAAAACCAGTTTTACAGCTGGTTTGGTGGTGCACCTTTATAATCGCAATACTTGGTCTGCTGAGACAGGCTTACGAGTTCAAGGCTTCAACCCACAAGAAGTACAAACTCATTTTATTTGCCTCTGGGAAGTTCACAGTGCTCCTAAAGGGAATTGTGTGGATATCTTAGTGTCAATGCGCTCCCGACAAGGCACCACAGACCTTGAACTCTGCTCTGAACCCGAGCCCCATGTTACTCTACCACAGGGTCGTGTGCCAGAGCAATAGCAGAAGCTTAGCTCCGTGAATGTGTTTCTTTCCACAGATGTGACAAGAGGCTTGAGTATCACTACTCCTGAGCAGAGTATCGAGAAAGCTAAAGGGGAAACCGCTTATCTACCATGCAAGTTTACACTTGATCCCCAAGACCAGGGGCCACTGGACATCGAATGGCTGCTCTCCCCATCTGATAACCAGAAGGTGGATCAAGTGGTGAGTTTGACCAGTGCTGGTCACTGCGCATGTCAGTGCGGATGTCGGGACGTGTCTTCACACGGACTGGGTGTAGCGGGGTGGGAGGAAGGCCCCCAGCTGCCCAGCTGTGGGGAAGTGAGGTTGACACACCCAGCAGATAGTGAGTGAATGTGTGAGGAGTGAAAGGGTAACTCTGGGACCAAGGGAAGCGTCTGGAAGTCTGGATATGCGTGTGAGGGGCCAAGCAGGGAACAGAGGGTATCGGGAACAGGCAGACAGAAGTGTACACAGGGTCAGGGACTTTGAGTAAATCAATTTTGTTAAAGAAGATAATAATATACTGTAAGAAAGACGTACAATATTATCACTAGAGCCCATTTTCCATATTTCCTCAAGTTAAATAGCCTGTATGATGAATTAGTTAAGAAAGGAATGGAATCTCTTTCTGATGTCCTCCCTTTTATTTATTTGTATGCCTGTGTACATAATAAGAGTGCCGTAGTGGTAAGCCAGTGAGGTTAGAGGCAGCTTTTGGAAGCCGATTTTTTTTCCTTACATCATGTGGACCCCTGGGGTTGAACTCAGATTCTCATTCTCAGTGAGTTCCTTTCCTAGAGCCCTTTTCCTAGCACACAGAATGATCAAAAGGGTGAGGGACAGCAACAATAATCCCTTAACATGTTTACTTACAGACTTAGGATTCACTTTGTTTAGAATGTTCTATGTTAACGTCATTTGACATATTTCATTCAAAGGATATTAGGCCAGAGGTAAGAAAGTAAGTTCCTGCTTTCATGGGGCTTTGGTGACACAAGTGTTTGTAAGAACTCACCGTGGTGGTGCATACCTCTCATTGGCCCACTCAGGAGGCTGAGGTGAGAACACAACCTCACAGTGTGACTCTTTTTTTATTTTATTTTATTTTTAAATTTAAATTAGAAACAAGGTTGCTTCACATGTCAATTCCAGGTCCCTCTCCATTTCCCTCCCCTCTTCCCGTGCCCTCCCTCCAACCCCTCCAATATCCCCTCATTTCCCCAGGGAGGGTGAGGCCCTCCATGGGGGTGTCCATAGTCTGTCATTTCATCCAGGGCAGGGCCTAGACCCTCCCCCAAGAGTCCAGGGTGAGAGTGCATCTCTCATTGTTGGATGGGTACCCAAAGTCCATTTGTATACCAGGGATAGTGATCTACTACCCAAGACTCAATAGATTACCTAGGCCTCCTCACTGACACTCCCATTCAGGGGGTCTTGATCCGTCCCATGCTGGATTCCCAGGCATCAGCCTGGGATTCAAGAGTTAACCCTTGTCAGGTCAGCCTGTTTCTGGGGGTTAAACCAGCCCAGTCTTAACCCCTTTGCTCATCAGTCCTCCCTCTCTGTTACTGGATTTCTTGAGTTAAGCTAAGTGCTTAGCCGTGGGAGTCTGCCTCTTCTTCCATCAGCCACTGAATGAAGGTTCTGTTTCCCAGACTCTCTGGCCATGGGATTGTAGGCTCAGTGTGACTCTTTTAAAAAATCTTACCATTTTACTTATGGTCCAAATAAGAGAGAAATGGTTATTTTATAACTAGAAGTGAAATTCTTCCCTTTAATGATTGAATTACTGCAGTCTGGAAATGGGCAGTTTTGATAAATCCAGGCATTTGTGAAGGAGGCAAAGAAGAGGCTTCCGTAGTTGTTAACGACAAGGGCTATGGATTTACCTCTGCCCTCCTCCTGTGACCAGAACCGTCTGTTTCCTAAGCAAAAGTAGCCCCAACAACAGAGTTGTCTCACTGATTCTCATCATCCCGAATATCCTGTGGCTGTGTCAACTCTCACTCTACTCCCCCTCCTCTCTGTGAGGGTGTCTGCACTCTGAACACACATTTCTAATAGAGGTCCGACACTCCCTTCCCTTGTCCCGCTCAGCGGTCTGAACCTGTGATTAACACAGGAGAGCACGAGTCTTCGGTCTTTCTGAGCTACAGGAGAAGGTGCTATCTAAGATGAAGTGTATGTAGACACCAGCAGGCACGGTGTGCCCCGAGCCTCTCTCTTTGTGCAAGGAGAGTCTCAGATCTTCCTAGCTAAGGACGAAGCATGAAATTGTGAGACAGGTATGATACCGGCCGACCCTTGGTCGGGAGTGGCCATTTCTGAGTTAAAAACCTGGCCTCAGATTTAATGCTTGGTAAGAGCAGAATGAAAAGGAAGATGGCAGGTAAGGGAGAGGTCTCTGAAGAAGAGGGTTACTTCCGTAGAATCTTAGCTATATCATATGTCAGCTGCACTCCTGTTTGATTAGAGATAACTTAGCAGATGTTACCCAAGAACGTGGAGTTGACAGACTGGAGAAACATCTAGTCTTATCCCACAGCTGGCCAGTCTTGGTGTGCTTTAGTTATGCCCCCATGCTTGTTTGGCATGAAATATTTGGAAAACATCAACGTAAGAGTTGACAATCATTTGAACGCCATAGAATGCATCTGCACAGGCGTAAGATGGCTGGGAAGTGGTCATATGGCGCCACTGTTGTCTCCACACACTCCGGGGTTGACAGACACCCCTGTATGCATCCTGTGACTCTATATACTCCCTTAAGCTTTAATTTCATTTAAGTCTTTACTCTGTAGGATATGCACGGTTATGCTTATGAGAGTGAGGAAACAGGCTCAGAGGTGTGAAGGAACGAGCCCAACATCATCTAATTAGTAGTTGGTATTTGAGCCCAGACTTCTGCAGTTCTCACACCCATGTTTTTGTTATTCTTTGTGTTGGCCTTCCCATCTCCCATGTTCCATGAACCCATTTCCTCATTTGTCTGATGTGGGGGACAAGTGTCCTAGCTACCTCTCGGAAGAACTTAATGAAATCCTTCAAACTGAAGTGTTTTGTCAGCTTGGAAGGAATATAGAAATATTTCACTGTGCTCAGTGAAAACAGTTCCCACTCATAGCTTAGCTAGGACCAGTAGTGTCTTAGTGTAAATGTTACAAGGGGACAGCCCCACGATCCTTGCCACATTGCAAGAAATCAGTGAAAACATGCAAAATTGCCTGGTAAATGCTAATTGTCCCTTCTTTTTTAAAGTTTTTAACCAGTCACCATAGGAAAGCACCAAGTTGGTTTACAACATCACTCACAGTGGGGACACATCTTATCTGTCTGGTGTTTCTTAAAACACAAATGGGATGGCTTTGCTTTTGAAGTAGAGCTGTTTTATTTAACTCTACACCTTTTCACAACATGAGTAAAACGTTTATTAGAGGGGAAGCCGGAGTGTCTTGTTTGTGAACACATGCATGTTGACCGATGTTGACGTTGACCCGTGGGTGTGGCAAGGCCAAGGAGCACGGTAATGGCTCGTGTGTTCAGCTGCTTTATAGGAACACTCAGCAAACTGATCTTGAGTGTGACTTGGTGATGGGCAGTTAACATACATATGAAAGTGTTTCTGTGAACTCACGAAAGCCAAATACACAAAACCTCAGAAAAAAGATATCCTTGGGAGACATTATCCAATTGTACAGTACACAATTAGACAAGCAGTTTGTGTAGATTATGGTTGTGTTTGTGGATGGGGTTTTTTGTGTGTGTGTGTGTGTGTGTGTTTTCTTCCCTCCCCCAGCCAGTACAGGGCATATTATGTAATCCTATTCCACTTTGGTTCCCAAATTTGAAATGAAGCATGATGCCACAATTCAGTCCCATTAGCTATTTCTGCTTTCTCATCCTGTGTATGATTAGGTAGCTGGTGTTTCAGAGTATAACATTTTTCTGCTTTTGTATTTTACACTAATGTTGGGGGGAAAGGATATTCATGTGTGCTATTTTTCCCGTACTGCTCAAATAAGAAAGTCATGTGTAGAAGGCCCAGCTGTGGCCCTGTTGTTTGAGTTTGGTTCCATTCTTTGCCCTTGAGTCTCAGGACAAGAACAAGGAGTCTTACTGTGAAGTATGGAAGTTATGAAGTGAGGTAGGGTGGTTTTTTTTTTTTGTTTTTTTGTTATCTCCTTGTTTTATTTTGCTTTTTGTTTTAGATTATTTTGTATTCTGGAGACAAAATTTATGATAACTACTATCCGGATCTGAAAGGACGAGTACATTTTACGAGTAATGATGTCACGTCTGGTGATGCGTCTATAAATGTAACGAATCTGCAGTTATCTGATATCGGCACATATCAGTGCAAAGTGAAGAAAGCTCCTGGAGTAGCAAATAAGAAAGTTCTGCTGACAGTTCTTGGTAAGTTACCATTCCTTGTGTCACTGGGGGTTCCATGGGTTCAGGGAAAGTGGCTACAGCTTGTAGTATCAGCATTCATGGAAGACAAAGCTGGTTTAATGACAGAGTGATGTCCCTGGACAGCAGAAGACAGACTTAGTCCATATATTTTTTTGAATGGAGAAAGGAAGAGGCCTGCCTACTTGTGAAGAGTAAATGGAAGGTAATGGAAGTAGAACCCTGCTATGATTTGAACTCATTGAGGGTTAGGCAGTGGGTGGATCTTTTAGGTTTTGTGTCAAGGAGCCCCCATTCTCATGAAGGGGTTGATGTGGTTCCAATGATGCCAGGTCAGTTACAGAGAAGGCAGGTTGTTACTCTTGATTAACTTCTTTGACAGCTTCAGGGCTCTCTTTTCAAATGTCAGTTTTGCTTCGGTCATGAGGTCCTCACTGGAAACCAAGCAGATAAAGTTGACATCATGTTCTTGGACCTCCAGAATTACAAGATAAATTTCCTTAGCTTCAGGTGTTTTGTTATAGCAACAGAAGACAAAGACAAAAACCAGACTAAACCAGGAGTTAACTTTAACTTGTGTAAGGTATTTTGTTGTTGTTGTTGTTATTATTATTATTATTGTTTTATCTTCAGAAATTTTCCTGAGAGTTAATTGAGACTTGTCATTTCCCTTTAAACATAAAGATTTAATTATCATTAAGCCTAAGATCTCATTCAGCTTTAAAATGCTTTTGTGTTTTAACCTTTACTTTCATAAAGATAAATGAATTTTCTACAATTAATTACTTAGAATTATTTACTTGTATTTTTAAAGATTTGTTTTATTTTAAATTATGTGTATGTGGATGTCTCTGTGTGGGTATGCATGTGTGTACCAGTGCCCATGCAGGCCAAAAGCATCAGAGCCCCCTGGAGTTGGGAGTCATATACACTTAGGAACTGTCAGATGTGGAGTTGGGAGTCAAACTTGGGTCCTCTGCAAGAGCTTTCATAAGTATCCACGGAGCCATCTGTCCAGCCACAAATCACTGAGTGTTTCAATTGGAGGTGATGTCCTTTGGTAGAAGGAACTGGAATAAGGACTGAGGTGTTATTTACCTCCTTTCAGTCACTGTTTCTGTTCTTCAGGTGAGAGAGTTAGTTGCGGGATGCCTGTAACTCTTTGGATAGCTATACAAGACATGTGTCAACTTCCTAGTAAGCTGTCAAAGACTGCAGAGGCCATTCATTTCATCTTAGAATCTGAAATAATGTGTACAGTTAATCTCTTAGGTGCTGAAAAGGCTACAACTCAAATATATCTCTAAAACTTCCTTGTGGTAGACTGGACATACAATGTGTGTGGTCCTCCATCGAGTAAAACACAACCGTCAGCTGTTTTACGATAGCAATTTGCCTGGCTTGGCACTCAAAGTCTTATGTTCAGGGAGATCCACTTTTTGTAGGAAATGTTGATTACTAGAATTACTTAAGCTAATCTTGGGGATAAATAAATAAGAGATTTAGGATAGGAAGAGTAAGTGTTCTGGCCAGGGCCTCTGCTAAAGCCTGCCTGTCTGAGCAGACAAGCCTGTCTGAGCATTCCAGTGGCAATTGCTGCTGACCACCTCACTGACTTAGCACCCAAGCGGTCCTGATCTTAAAGACACACCATCTTAAAATGGCTCCAGTTAAAAGGATTATCTATGATGGGAAAGCGAACTTGAGAAGGAGATGTGGTATCACTGGAAATGCTAGCTATGTTTCTATCATGTAAGCATGGACTCTTTATGTTTGTCAACTGCATAAGCTGCTGACAGTTCCTCCAAACCAGAGGTCTGAGCCCTTATTCAGATCCTGATGCCGATGCTACTAACTCTGCATTGACACTGACGCCTCTTCCAGCACCATCCTGGAAGCACTGAGTTCCGATAAATCGTCGAGCATTTCATGCTGGTATCCAAATTCTTCAGTGTGATTGACAGCTGGCTATCAACATCTGGGGAAGGGTACATCAGGAAGCAGTGGACTTGCGTTCCTATTCTCAGAGTAGCTGTGGACAGGCGTGCCTTCTGTGGGTAGAACAGCAGTTTGGCTAAGCACACTTGTGGTAGCAGCAGGAATGGCCCTTAAACTTCACTGTGTGTGAGGGCTCCAGCGCTCACGTTTATCCATAATGGTTGAGATGAGGAAAACTCATGTTCAGCTGAAGGCATGAGAACCAACTTAGACTGGGGAAGATCACCAGCTCTGGTCTGGCACTTACCAGACTGGGAAGGCAGATGGTTAAGCCAACCACAGCGTTCGCAGCAAACATTGTTTTTCCCAAGGTCTTAGAGCAAAATGAAAACAACGACTCACTGTTCGGCCAGCATTGCTCCCAGACTGACCCTCCCCTACCTCCCTTCACCAGGATTCGAACTGTTAATGGACTCTCCCTCCTGACAGTACCCACTCCATGCTTAGTCCCTACTCTCCACTCTCCTGTTCTCTCCTCAGAAACAGTTGCCCGGTGTCTTTTTTTTTTTTTTTTTTTTTTTTAGAATATCCCCAAAACCTTTCCAGGTTTTTGCCTCTTGTGTGGTAGCATTCTATACTTCCCTGGCTGTTCCTTCTGGTTTCGCAGACTGCACACTTGCTCTGGGAGAGCTTGTCTAAGCAGACTTTACACTTTGTGTCCTCCGGCTGTAAAGTTCGTCAGTAGCCGAATGGGAAGTCACACTCGTGTCGTGCTGATGCAGGGGAAGAGTAGTCGGCATTTAACGAAGGTGGCTTCTCATACACACAGCATGGCTTACTCTAAAGAACTTGATGGAATCAAAGGCCAAAAATGTTCGTAGCATTCTTTTTACAGCCATGATTCCAGAAGGAGGAAAGTTCTATACTATGTGATAGAAATCTGAGCAGCCAGCCAGCCGGCCAGATTTAGAAGTAAGGCTGTCTGTCTGCTGCCGTGGCCACTGCTTAGTGGGTGTACAGTCAGCCTTTTGTATCCCCGGGTTTCATACCCTCACACTGAACTATGGATCGAAAAGTATTTGGAAACATTTATGTATGTGGAGTATACAGACTTTTAGTGAATTTTCTCCAATCATAGCCACTGTAGCAACTACATTGTAATAGGATTTATGAACAATCTATAGGTAATTAATTGAAAGTCTTAAACAGGAGTAGGTTAAGCGAAAACTATGTCACTTTATGTAAAACAATTGAGGATCCTCATATTTTTATACCTATATGGTCCTGAAACCAGTTACCTACTAGAGTACTAAGCAAAGACTGTAAACACATTTGTTTAACCCATTTGACTAAGATATTAATTTGGCTTAAATGCCATGCTTCAAGGAGATACAGAATGGCTTAGTGCCAAGCTGTTAAGCCAGAGTTGGGGTACAGTGCAGGTAACGAGATTAGTTTTAACTCTACACCACTGCTCAGAGGTCTGAAAGATAACCGCCAATTTACTTTTTATGGTGCTGCTGTCAGAATGGATTTGAATTCATGTAAATGCCTAATGTTAAATGGTCTGTGCTGCATTAAAATGGATTGTCCCAGTTATCAGCGTTCTTAATAAGTGCCCTGATGTCCAGTAACGGCACCTAGAGAGCTATGACTTGGCACGTACTCACAGATGGCTGCATTTCAAGGGCAGAGACTAGGTAAGGAATGGAGGGTAGCTTCTGGGAGCATCATCACCCAGCCTCATCGCCCTGCTTTTTTGACATGTGCCTATGGAATGGAATGGAATGGCCGTGCACAGAGCTGAGCTGCATTTCAGATGTCGCCAAACTATGCAATGGCTGCTTGCCTGAGCTCATTGCCTGTTTGTGTTGGATGAAGCTTCGTGAGCTGGTGTGGACAGCAGTATCATTCTCTGTGCCCTTGTGCATTGCAAGCCCAGCAGTGGCTGATAAAGGAACCAGTGGCTACGCATCATACTTTGTTCTCAAGTAATCCATTAGAGAAACAAATCCTGTTCTCTTAGGTAAAGCTGTAACGTGTTTCCTTTCTGTTCAGTTAAGCCTTCAGGTACGAGATGTTTTGTTGACGGATCGGAAGAGATTGGCAATGACTTCAAACTGAAATGTGAACCAAAAGAAGGTTCACTTCCATTGCGCTATGAATGGCAGAAATTGTCAGACTCGCAGAGGATGCCCACTCCATGGTTGGCAGGTACTGCCCCTGACACAGACTGGTACCCGGGGGCCACTGATACGGATTTAAACTTAGGAGTGCTTGTATGTGTATGTTACATTTTAAATTCCCTGGTCTATGTAGAATGATCCAAATCACCATGGAAGTTATTCAGTATTTTATGATCACAACCAATTGTCCTCGAGGAAGAAATACTTCTAGAAAGATTTCACCTTTAGGCTATTGTAATTAGTTTCTTTGGCAGATCCTTTTAATGCTGTGAAGTGTGCAAGGTCACAAATTAGTGCCAAAGTGTCAGTGGGGTCATGGTTGCCCTGCTTGGATTCTTACAGGGTTACAGTAATTTACCCATGCAAGTGTGTGTAAACCAAACAGCCTATGGGAAGTGACATGAGCTAAAAAGTTACAAATTGGCCAAATGTAATTGCGCATATGATAATATCACTGCTATGTAGTGGACCAAACACCTTGTTTTAGCCGAGGATGTGGCTGAGGGACTGTGGCAACTGTACGCTCACTTGTAGAGCCTGATAGCACGAACCTGTCATGCGCATCTGCCTCTGGCAGTGTGTTTGAACCCAGCACTGTCTGTCTCCTGACTGCTTGTCAAACTTTCGTAAGGTTTCTCAGCTGTATTAAAAACAGAGTAATCACACATCCGGTAAAAACAAATCCCCCCGCTTCTTCCATAGAAATGACTTCACCCGTTATATCTGTGAAAAATGCCAGTTCTGAGTACTCTGGAACATACAGTTGCACAGTCCAAAACAGAGTGGGCTCTGATCAATGTATGCTGCGCCTGGACGTTGTCCCTCGTAAGTGGCTTCTTTCATCCGCTTTGCTTCCGCTAGAATCTCATAGCCTCGTTTAGTTTAGTCGGCGAGGGTGTTTTGAAGGCAAGGATGCTCACTTTGGTTGGAACACTGGGTATTTACTGCGTCTTCTAGTTCATGCAGAAGAAAAGATGACACTCTGTCAATAAAACCGTCATTTTAGAAACTAGCAGTTGTCAAGTCAGCTTTGGCACACTATTCAGCCATTAAAGTACGAGAAGCTTATGACACTTTCATGTGCCAGTCAAGATAGCTTTGACTCAAATTACATCAGTTTTTAAATTTGGTGATATAACACTCACAAAAAGTATTGTTAACGTATTTTTCTTGCTAGACAAAAGCCTTGCTGGTCAATCTGTTACGAGAAGCTTTTTCTTGGCTAGCCGCTTTGGTTTATCCCCCGCCAGTCGCCTGGGCTCTGCCGCTTTGTAGTCCCCAAATAAACACACAAGACGCTGTATTAATTATGAAGCTGTTGGCCTTGCTTGTTTCTTACTAGCTAGCTCTGACTTAAGTAATTACCCCATAATTGTTAATCTAAGTATGTTTCTTACCGGAGAATAGTTCCGGGCTTCCTACCCGCATGGCGTTACATGTTGACTCTCCTGTGTTTCTCCTTCCCAGAATCCTCCTGGACTCCTAGCCCCACCTATCTAGATTCCTATTGGCCAGCAGTAATTTATTGACATATACACAGGACTTCCCCAACATCAATCAGTCTTTTAAAAGTTAATATATGCAATGAATGAATCTGTGTTTACATGCCATACTTTCAGTAGTAAGCCATGTGTTGTGAGTTTTCCTCTTCTTACGAATTGCTGTTGAAATCTTATCCTAGCTTCAAACCGCGCTGGGACAATCGCGGGAGCTATCATAGGAACGCTGCTTGCACTCGTGCTCATCGGTGCCATCCTCTTTTGCTGCCACAGGAAACGCAGAGAAGAGAAGTACGAGAAGGAAGTGCATCACGATATCAGGTAAGTAAGTGAAAATAGATTCGGCAGGTGCGTAACACATGATTACGTCTGCCAGTTCTGGAAGCATTGAAACGAACAGTGCTATGAAAACGGGGTGCAAACTGTGGTTCCTCCCTTCAAATCATTTCCAAGCATTCATGTTCAAGTGCATCCATCCCACCACTCTTCAGATTTCCTCATCCCATTTTGAGAATTACACAAAATGGTTGTCTCAAGAACACCTGGCTTTTTATATGGAAAGACTTGATTGCCATTAGTGACATGGGTAGCTTGTGGAACTGGTAATGTAGTTGTTTTTCTTCTTGAGACAATCTCACCAAGTTGCCCAAACTGACCTTGAACTCATAATCCTTGGGCTCCAGTCTCCTAATGGTGGAATCACAGATGTACACTGTCGTACAAGGCTTATTTTCTTAAATATTCTAATCTGGTAGGTTTTAACTAGGATTATACTTTTAAAAAATAACATATGACTTAAATATATTAACAACCTGGAAATTGCTGTTGGGTCTGGAGGTTGGAGACTGGAGCACCTTTTTTTTTTTTTTTTTTAAAGGTGCACCCAAAGTATTCAGGCTTATTGCAGATGGAAGTTTCTGTCCCACCTTGTCCCAGAGCCCTTTTAGTCCCAAATAAACACACAGAGGCTTAAATAAATTATAAACTGTTTGGCCTTGTTCAGGCTAGCTCTCTTAATTATTAACCCATAACTATTAATCTGTATCTCCATATGGCCTTATCTTACTGGAGAATGCCCTGTGCGTCCTTACCCTCCTGGTAGCTACATGGCATCTCCTTAACTCTGCCTCCTACCTTTCTCTATCCCTGTTTGGATTTCCTGCCTGGCTAAATCCTGCTTGTCCATTGGCCAAAGCAGCTTTATTCATCAACTAATATGAGAAATATAATCGTAGCATACAGAAGGATATCCTCTATCAGTTTATAGTCTAAGTCAATGCTTGATAAAAATTCTTAGCTATGAATTCTGAGGTTTTGAAAACAGAAATATGTGGTTTCTAAAGCCTTAGAGAACTTTCACAGTGAAAAGGAATTCTTTCCTTCCTTTGGGGCTAGAAATGTATGTGTATGTGTCAGTGCCTCTTTAACTATTAATGTGGCTGACTAGATGATCATTGATGCTAGTATATGAAACTTTGAGATTCCTTCCTCATTAGATGTTACAAAATCGTATGCATTTGAACAAAACCCATAATTCATTAACTGATTTTTGTGCTTTGACCAAGATAATAAATTGGGACAGGCACACAGTTAATGATGTTCGCCCTTGCATTGCTCGCTGTTTACATGTTTGTACTTACCCATGATGTGTACTTACATAATTGTAGGTTTTTTGAAGGTAGTACTTTAGCATGTGTTGGGGACTTTGTTTTGCAGGGAAGATGTGCCGCCTCCGAAGAGTCGGACATCCACTGCCAGGAGCTATATTGGCAGCAACCACTCCTCGCTGGGATCTATGTCTCCTTCCAACATGGAAGGGTATTCCAAGACTCAGTATAACCAAGTCCCCAGTGAAGACTTTGAACGAGCTCCTCAGAGTCCTACTCTGGCACCAGCTAAGGTAGCTGCCCCTAATCTAAGTCGAATGGGAGCGGTTCCTGTGATGATTCCAGCGCAAAGCAAGGATGGGTCTATAGTATAGAATTCTCCATCTCTGTTTTCTGTTGTTTTCCATGGCTCGTTTCTTGTCTTTATATATCAAAACTTATTCTAGTCTAAATTTTGCTAACAGCAGCCCCAAAATGTATGTACACACACACACACACACACACACACACACACACACACACACACACAAAGTTAATAAGAAACTAAAAGTAACACGCTCCACAGATTTTTGTTTTTGTTTTTTTATAGTGAAATGGTAAAGACTTAATAGTAATGGCACTGATCATCTGGAGAAGATGAGTTTTCTTAACAAGTTTATTTCAATGGCATCTGAATAGCAATGCTCAAGAAAGATATGGCACTTTGAATATGATGTCCTAGGTGAAGAAATTTGTGAATTTACACACATACCAAAATGATACTTGAGTCATCAGAAAATGGTACTTTGTAGTTTTGGCCATTATTTTTAGGATGTCTATCTGTCTAGTTATGAACAACAGTATCCCTCAAATTTAGGAAACATCCATGGAAAATTGACTTGCCGTTTGAATTTGTTTTTATAAATCTCTCAGAGAATTCTAAGTGTATTTGGGATATCTCTAAGAGTAGGAGACACTACAGTGTTTTAGAAATGAGTAGTTTCATTTCTAAGTCATTCATAAACATTATGAGATGATTTCTTTCTTTCTTTTTTGTGTTTTGTTTTGAGATAGGGTCTTAGTATGTAGCTTAGACTGGCCTGGAATCATGATCCTTCTGCTTTAGCTTCCTGAATGCTGGGATTCCAAGTCTGGCTGTAGAACAGTTTCTTAAGTATTTCACTGAGAGACTGCAGAGGCAACAGGAAGTAGTAACCTTTATGTGGTATGGAAAAGAAGCAAATTTGAGATTCGGCAGAAGCATTTGCTTCTCCATACAGAGATGAAACCCTTGGGTGTGTATGTCCAGTGCCCCAGGGCGTGTGGGTGAAACCCTTGATTATGTCCTGGGCCTCGGGGCCTGTGGGTGAAACCCTTGATTATGTCCTGGGCCTCGGGGCCTGTAGGTGAAACCTTTGTGTCCAGTGCCCCGGGGCCTGTGGATTTCTGCAAAACTCTGTCCAGACAGATGAGGATGCAGGGTTTGTCAGTCCACAACTAAACACTGACCTTCCATGTTAGGTGATCTTTTTGCAATTAAGAAAGTAAGGAAAGACAACAAAAAAAGTCAATTTATCATCTGGCAATTATAAATAAGAATTCTCAAATTATTTTTAAATTTGTATTTTTGTTTTGTGGCCGACTGTACTATATGTCTTATGTTGTAGAAACATGGAATCTATCTAGACTTTCTGTCTAGAGTACAGTTCCTGGAGGTTATTTTCCTCCAAGACTCAGTGAACAAATACACTTGAGGCAAGTTAAGTGTCTTCTACCAGCCCTAAATTCTAGACTTGGGCAATGTGCTTACTGTCCAGTGGCCAAACCTGCCTCTCTATAATTCTCACAAATCAAGTTTGATTCTTAGTTTCGTGAAGTGACTTACTTTTAAAAGAAATTTTAAAAGGAGTAAAGGGAATACTCCTATCTGCCAAATGTATTAAATATAGTTTTTGTAGAAAAAAAGTGAATTTATTGTATTTCCCTTAAGATTGTGAGGGAGTGTGTGTAGAGTATAATGAGCCAGCTGTTTCTTTATAGTAGATATGGTCTGTAATAAAGGATTTCATTAACTTCAAAACCTTTCCCCCAGGGAATCGTTTTTCTGTTAATCTCTTCAGGTGCTGCGCTGGTAAATGCTACATTATTATAAATTAATGTTGGCATGCATTTACAATTAGGCAGAGTATTGTGTATACTTTATAATGGTGAATTTAAGCTGATTGTCCATGTAATGGATTAGTGTACAGTTTTACATATTTGGAAACATTTTGTAAAGTAGGTTCTAACCTCACATAAAATTACCTTTGATATTTGTGTTAATATTTTCATCTGTGCCTTTTTGGGTCATTTGATTTCTACTAGGATTTTCTGGTGCCTATGAGCTGGCTATCACCTACCTGGGAGGTGCTTAGAGGTGAAGGTACTATTTCCAAAAGCACATCCCTCTGACTCTACTTACCCTCAGAGTCTCAATCTTGCCTCTTCTCCTCTGCTCTCTTTTTGATGTCACTTATAGTGATGCCATTGTTTATAAAGATTTAAAGAAAAGAATCATGCCCCCCAGTACTCCTTGACTGTGTTTCTGATTTATAACCATTGCCATGTTTGACTGTCAGATATTTGGCATTTTTATAAGATAATACAAGAGTAAATTAGAATGTGAATTTTAATGATTTTTACATAATGAAGATTATGCTAGGTAGAAATTACTATAGAAAGTAGATGTATATAATCTTCCTTTCCTTATACTTTGTATGTATTTAAAGGCAAAGAAAATGTAAAGTATCTGAATATTTCAGTCCAGATCCGCACACAGCAATTATAATAGAAAGACAAGCTTGTTTAAAAAATAAAACAACAGAAAAACTGGGAAAAAAATAAAAAAGGAGCTATAGGACATAGAATTAGAGGCACAGTTAAAATTTTGGCTTTGGTGTGCATTATTCTCATTTTAAGTTTCGGTTTTACCCAAAGCTCAGACAAGTACTAGTAGTTTCCCAAACAGTTCTCACTGTTGATCTTAATTGAACAAGAGAGCAAGTATTTGTTCTAGAATTAATACCTGTGGTGGTCAACAGTTCACAACTTTATTAATGCATTTGAGTCAGTGCCAGCACTGTCTGTGTCTTTAGAGCAGACTTCTTGGATCCCACTTTATACTCAAGAGACTTAGACCCAGATTTTAATGTTACATGGGGTAATCTGAGAGAAATGACACTGGATTACATATATTACACAGAAACCTATGAGTATTGTCATTGATAATCTGATATTTTCTTGTTAGAATGCCTTCCCTCCTTCTCACAAGTCTTATTAATTTTCCTGATAAGTTACATAGAGAAACATTTCCTTAAATTTGAGTTATCTGCTAAGGATTTATTAGAATGGAAACACAGCCTGAGTGACTTTAGGGGGGAAAATCCATGTAGATTATGGAAATGCCTAGTTTCTGGTACTTGTGATTGTACATATCTTTGATCCCAGAACTCTAGAGGTGCAGGAAGATCTTGGATTTGAGGCCAGTAGCCAGATCAAAGCAAGCCTGAGACCTAACATTTGGGGATTGAACATTGTGGCCCAGGGTTTTGTCTCAATGGGAAGATTGAGATTTGAGTCTGAATTCTTTAAAGAAATGAATTTCAGATTGAGCCCTGGGGATTTAGAATTTAAGTGAAGAGGCAAGTAAACTTTGATGAAAAAGAACTCACTGCATGGAGTTGACTACTTTAATGTATGACTTATTAAGTAACTACTGTCTCTATGTATACAGCATGTAAATTTGAAGCTATGTGAATGTTTGTAGGTTTTCGTTTTTTTTTTCTGAATTTTGTTTCAACTGTGTTTAGAGTGCTCTCAGTTGCCTTATTTCAGTGAACAAAAAAATCCATATTTTATGTGGTGAACGCTTTAAATGTGTCACTTGCAGAGTAGTGTGTAGAAAAATGCTGGCACAATTTTAAGTGGTTTGTGACATTATATATTATATATGTACATATTTCTTTATAACATCCTTGTGTTTTGTAGTATAAATGTTCTGGGCAAGTTTTAATATTTCAAATGCCTCTGGATATTCCAGCAATAAAGGCAACATGCTCTGCAATAGAATTTCTTGTTTGCCTACCTTGACACTACCATGATACATATTTGAGCAGGACTCCATTTGAAAATATTACAGAAAGGGGGACTAATAATAATACATAAATTTGTGAATTGTGGTGATTTCTCCTTTTGCAAGGCCAACCATTTACCTTCCAGATTTTGATCCTAAGCCCTAAGATCAAGATTACAAAATATATGTCTGAGTTTGTAGTTTAGAATACAGACACCATCAGCTGGTTTGGTGCTTAGACATCAAAGACACTGTCAAAGACCAGCTCTGTGGTTTCTGCTCATTTGTTTAAGGACACAGGTGTCAAGAGGACCAAAATTCACTGATTGACTTATTCGTGTCCAGAATTGTGAATTTTGGCAATATAAGAATAATAATAATATTAATTTGACACCCCACATTTGCAAAGTAGAGTATGGGTAGTGTCATTTTCAGATTTTTGTCTCTCAAATTTCTGACTTACATATCCAATGATGCAGATTTCAAAGTTTGTAAGAACAATTTTGTTTAAAAACAGAAACTTGCTCTTAGTTTTGTGACCTTGTGTACTTTTGAAATAAAATGAAGAAAGTAGCTCTCTGCCTTGTGGTGTGGCTTTATTTTGCTTTTACAGACATCTACTAGAGCTTCAGTTCATTTTCCTTCCTGCTTTCCTGTATCAAGCCTCTTCCACCCTGGTATCCCTTGAACAAGAAGAACAAAGACTGTTACCATCCAGTATTAATCAAACATACCTACATGTCACTCCAGGGCTTATTTGCTAGTATACAATATTGAAGTTGAAGCTTGTGGAATCCCATAAGTTTAGAAATAATGCTATGGTTTTCAGATGAATTAAAAGTGTATAAATACATATTGAGCACAGATGTTCTTTGGTCCCTTCCTACTGCATTAAAAGAATGTCTTAGAGAGGACCATTTATGAACCAATTCTGCTCACAGTTCTAGAGGGTGGGAAACCCAAGCCATTGCACCAGGAGAGTCTAAGCAGGGCTTTTTTTTTTTTTTTTTTGCTTTTTCGAGTCAGGGTTTCTCTGTATTGTTTTGGAGGCTGTTCTGGAACGCTCTGTAGGCTGGTCTCGAATTCACAGAGATCCGCCTGCCTCTGCCTCCTGAGTGCTGGGATTAAAGGCTCATACCACCAACACCCGGCTAAGCAGGGTATCTTCCCAAGGTGCAATGGGGCAGAGGAGCTCATTCGTGTCCTTCACAAGGACATTCATTCCAATGAATGTGGCGCCTTCCTGTCACTTTCCAAACTTTCACTTTCTATCCCATTAGCCATTGAGAGTTCATTGTGACAATTTCAGGAAAACATAAGCATTCAGATCACATTAATAATCCTCTCATGGTTTAAAACTATTTTTACAGACTTCAAACGTTGATCAAGAAAATGGGGCATTGAAGTTTCTATAAGAATACATGTCGAGGAATAATTTGGTTGTTGACTAAGTTTTCTCCGACTCAACAGTGTCAACATTTTGGACTGGATATTTAGTTACCTGGAAGCAACTGTCCTTTGCATTGTAGAATGGTAGTGGCATCTACTCAGATGTCAGTGGTACCCTTGCCTCCATCCCACTTGTCACAATGAAGTGTCTTTAAACATTGCCGCTGTCCCTGCATTGCCAAGGATAGAAGGCTAATCAGGTCCACCTGAGAAGCAGTGGCCCACAGTAAATGCGAAGTTTTCTCCTGAGGCTGACATGGAGAGCATAGGCTATGGAAGAACTCCTACTTGAATTCTGATTACCGGTTGCTTCACTTAACTGCAGTTTCTTGGAGCTGGTGATAGCTGCCTTCTTCGTGAGATGGCAGGTTTTGGCATGACAAATTTGTGTATTCATCTTTGATATTTGACATACTGATAATGACACAGAATTTCAAAATCTGAATTTCAAAGTTTCATATACAATGTCAAATGAAACTATTGTGTATATTTGAATGCCTTTAATTTAAACCAAATTTTAATCTTAACTCTGCTCCTGCCCAAATGAGTAAAAGCAAAAGTGATTAAAGACTGAAATGCTGAATGTGAAGTAACTTATTACTAAATTAAAAACATCTAGTATATGTCTAAGGCATAACTGAATATAATTTCAAAGTGCAATAATGACAACAGTCAAACTTATTTATTTTGCTGGTGTTTCTGAAGTAGAAGTGAAGTTACTTCAGTGACTTTAACATTGATAAAAATATGTATAAAAAAAGGTGCTGTCTTACAAGAACAGCAAATAAGTCCTCTCCTTGGTTGATTTAAATAGCTAATTAAGAGCTGAGTAATAAATACTAGTGTAGGTAGCATGTTAGCTAATTTTGATATTCTAATACTTTTTTGGTATAAAAAGAAATCTAGGGAGACCTAAGATGCCTGAGACACCATGTCTTAGACGTTAGTTTTCGGGACACATATAGTGCCATGTCAGTTGTTTTCAAGTCTTTAAATGAAATTAGTTATTTATAAGTGAGTCTCTGTGTGTAATTGTACTTGTTTGCTAGGACTTCCTTTCGTAACAAACTACCACAAATGGTGAGGATTACATAACGGACCCCAGACAGTTCTGGAGGCCAGGAGGCCAGTCAAGATGGGGCAGGGACAGCTCCCTCTGCTAGCTGAGATGGATGGTTCCAGGCATCCATTCTTGGCTTGTCCATGGATCTTTTCTCTGATTTTCTGCCTTTTTTCTGTAAATACCTCTCTGTTTATATTTCTGTTTCTTGTTTGTTTTTCAAGACAAGGTTTCTCTGTGTGTAGTAGCTCTGACTGTCCATGGACTCTCTCTAGATCAAGCTGGCCTAGAATTCAAGAGATCTGCTTCTGCCTCCTGAGTACGGGGATAAAAGATGTGTACCACCACTACCCAGATTTAATATCAACAAAAAGCAATACCTTCATTTATCTCGTTCTTTTTAAAAAGGTATGAGATGGTAATACTGTTTAAACTTAATGTGCTTATCAAGTGAAAACTAGATGAACTGCCAATTAATTTGTCTTTCTGAATCTTGCTGACAAGATAGAATGACTTTCAGGGAAGCAGTATTAAAAGTATTTGTTGTTGTTTGTTGTACATTAAGGATAGCTGTGTCTGAATATAGTTTTTTAGTACTTCAAAAGGAAATAATGCAGGAGATAGTGGGAAATACATACAAGGCACACCCTCACCAATACTTATTTCTATTCCCAGTTCTTCAAATAGCTGCACTTGAAATTCTATTAGTTTGTCAACAGGTTATTCAAAGAACAACATGAAAAGTCTAAGTATGTAACAGAATGTGTGATCGGTCTATGTTTCCTTCCAGGAATATTTTATATAAACAGAGGTACTAGTTTATGTGTTTTAAAGCACATCCTATTTATCTTTGAAAGTCAGTGTTAGGATTGGTCACAAGGGAGGAAGGATTAGGTTTTAGGTTGGAGCAACTGAGTGGAAAACTAAGGTGGATCAGAAAACTGAAGACTAACATTGGATTGTGTTGCACACAGGTCTGTTACTGGCATAAAGCACATGTATTAATTTAGGTAAAATGGTAACTGGTAACTGAGTTACATACCACCACCAAAACATAAAATCTGTACTATTATAGACAAAACGTTGGCAAGATTGTAGACCGAAGTACATATAGAGGGGAATATAGAGGGGAAAGGTGGCAGTTACAGGCTTGGTTTGGAAGTGAGGTTACGGAACTGTGTTTTGAACGTGTTGAATGCAAGGAATTTACTTGAATAGAGAACTGGCAATGTTGAAATACCTAAGTTTATCTGGAGAATGAGAACGCTGGATTGGAGATAAAGGTTGGTATTTAAGAGCAAGTGTGTGTCGGTGATTACACTTAAATGTAAATGAAGATGCGGGACCAAACCCTATAGGTATTACAGTCTAACAGGAAGCAGGAAATGAGTGTATGCGTATTAGGATATGACTGAGTAGGTATATAGGATCCAGTGCCATCAGTCAGTGAGAACAAAACAAATGTCACACTTCTCAGAGTTGGATACTTTACATCAAAATGTAAAACCAAACAGATTCTCAGCAGTCTAGTTGTAGATAATTTACAACTGCTCTAACTTTATTCGTAGCAAGACACCACCATATGTATTTCTACCATACTATTTCTCAGTTTATCTTTAGGTTCTTAAGTTGCTGGAATGTCTACCTTGAGCAGTTTTATATGCAATCAGCACAAACTAGGTGAAAGAATGAATTATTTTGCCCTTGAAAAGAAAATGTGATTAGATGACATATTAGGTTAGCTGTTACACACAATTCCAAGATGAATTCTGGCCACTGGCACTGTGTTCTCTCAATGTTAAGTAGGACAGTTTCCCTGTCACATAGTCCTAGAACTGTCAAGAGTAAAAGAACATTTACAGGCACAAGCATTGGGCAGACAGGAATGAAACCCAGTAACTGCAGTAACTATAGACTGTTGTAAAGATGAGAATCTTCTAACGCACACCAGGGTTTTAGTGTGAAGAGTAGAGCAATTTGTCACGTTCACAGCAAAGTAAGCTGTGTAGTGGCTAATAAGGCTTCAATGTGTTTATGAATTCGAAATTTCTTACAATGTTATGGGCAAACACTATGCCATAGTTAAGTGAAAAATAGTTAAATTTTACAAGTGAAAATTTACAAAAAAAAAAAAAGAATGCCAGCAGACTTTAAAATGTTAAAGTAAAACAAACGTAAATGCCTATGTCAGTTGCAGGAGTGACACCAAACTTCAAAAGAGTTTTCAGGAGTAGTTTATGACATTTTCTCCAACACACATTACTGTGCACATGCATGTTAGTACTAAAGCATCACTTTTAAGTCCATTAGTATGTCTAAACCACCGATGATTTGCTCATGTCAACAGTTTAAAATTGACTCCACAACCCCTAACACCAGGGGCTGCCTGTTTAAGAGGTTAGTCACTAAAACATGGACAAATTAAAATAGGGACACAACTCCTTTAGTTTGCTTAAAGCCGATGGCCTTATGCACGCTTAGACTATCTCAGTTGTCTCATGGGATTCCTTTTGGCTTCTTTGAGGCCATGTTTAAGCTTTCTCCAATGAGTTCTGGGACAGAAATGCAGGCCTGCTCATACTTTTACCACCTCACACAGAATGGATTTTAACTGCCTGCCTTTTATTGTGCTACAAAAGGACTCTTTATGACCGCAAACTAGAGCTTGCTAATACAGACAATTTTTACTAAAGTTGCATTGTCAGCCGTCTGTCTCACCTTAGCTGTACGGCAGTATAAAGCTAGTCTAATAAGGGAGGAAGGCTTATAGTGCAGAGTGATTAATGCATGTACGGTCTCATCCTGTAGCCATCCGGATACTGTTTTGTAAACCCAGATGGCTCTTGCTATCTTCACAATTGCCTACTGAAGATTTGCAAATCTGGAAGTACTGCTATCAATACAAGCAGGGAACATATTTGGGGGAGAAACTTTGGTAAAAGTTTGGGTAGTTTCTAAGCCACATAAAGGTAAATTAAATCTGTATCAGTAATCTTATTATATAATGTTATTTGGTTTATCATTATAAACACAGGGAAAAAGAAAAAAAGCAAGATCCAGAAAG